TTCTTCGGTCCTGCTTCGGCTTAGTTTATATACATGTGTGAACGGGTCACGTGGGAGTGCCATGTCACCTTCGGACGAAGCTGGGTTACCACGGGTGGCTCCGCGGTCGATCCCGAGTGTTGGAGGGGAAGTACAAGTAGGAGTGCGTGGCACGTCCAGCATGGTGGTGCCCCTACGGGGTGCTCAGCGTCAGGCGCGTCCGTGCTACAAGTGTAGGAAAGAAGAGAGAGATCGTCTGTATAAAGATAGAAAAAGAGAAGAGGGAAAGAAGAGAGAAAGAGAGGGTGAGACGAAAGGAAAGGAGGTGGCAGCGGCGGCAACGGCGGCATGCCCTGACAGTGGTTGAGTGGTCACTCCTATCCAACCAGAAGTTCCCTATCAGGAACTGTAACCTATCCCACCTCCTTAGGAGAGGGATATGGTCCAGGCAGCTCCAGGATGCCTGGCCACACACCCATGGGTCCCACTTCCCACGGTCACCCACTACTGTGCACTGGTCCACCAGCCTGCTTTCCCAAACAACTTCCGCTACCGGTACACTCCCATGAGCGCCAAGTCCCCATTAGCAGACAGCCAAGTGGCTCCCTCAAGGAGCCCACATCATACTCGCTACCGGTACGCTCCCAGGAGCACCAAGTTACCATTGGCCAACCGACAGGTTGTACTTCCCATTCTGCTCTCCCTCTGATGGCTATGCAGCCACCTCCATTAGTGAGCCAAATGGTTCAGGTTGGGTTCCCCAGAACCCATTCCTGTAACAACTACACTGTCTTTGCATGCAAATTCCAGAGTGTGTGGCCAACCTCTCTGACCCTGTGGCTACTCAGGAAGAGGTGGATAATTTGCATCAGCCAATGAGAGTAGCTGTCTGGAGATGTGCCTCCAAGACTCCCATCTTCCTCATCAGCCACTGATTTCAACCCCATTTTTGGGAACACTGATGCCATGATGTCAACATCTGTGACTGGTTTATCTCTGATTTCATCTGCCCCTAGCTCCCCTGGACTCTTTGCTTCAACCCTGCCTTCCTCAGGGTCCTCAAGCAACCAAGCAGAGGGTTCAAGACCTTCAAGTAATCCATATCATTGATGGAAACTTAAGACAGTGTGTTACAAAAATGGGGCCAGAGGCGCCCATTTTCGTCCGTTCGAGGCACAGGAAAGGGGAAAGGTTGGGGAAGAGGGTTCATAAGAAGTTACAGATGTTGTTATAGATGTTGTAACATGGAGTTTAACAGATAGTTTAACAAATGGGTTTTCAATGGTAATAGTTGGATAACCTCTATTTATTTACATATCATGTGATTTGGGTGTGTGCAGGGCCCATAAGAGTCTAAATTGGGAAATTTCCCATTTCCATAACATCGCCCCCCAGACTCTTATGGGTCTCTGCACAGAACACCAATAGCCCACCCAAAAACTAAAAACAAAAACAAAAAGAAGAGAAGAGAAAGGTTGTGAGAAGTCTCACAATATAGAAAAATTCCCTCAGCCAGCACCAAAACCCAGTGGGAAAGCTTGGCATGAGGTTTAAATTATGAAATAAAACATAAAAGTATAAGAAATTATAAGAAAATAAAATAAAAGTGGCCTCAGCCCCCCAACTCCTATGATCCCACAGGGAGGTGGTTCACCAGGTGGTCGCACAGGCCCCAAAAGCTTTAGGGGAGGCAGCAAAGGTGCCCCAGAATGGACTCGGAGCTGGGTCGAGTCCGCACTACAAATAGCAGAGCAGAGCCAACCCAAAGGTGTTGGAGTGCGGTGGAGAGGAGGCCGCACTGAAGGAAGTGGGGAGGAATAGTGGGGGAGTGGTTGTTGGAGTGGAATTGTCGGAGGCGGTAGAGAAAGAGAAAGTGTCGGAGTGGGAAGAGCAGGAGAAGCGGTGGAAGTGACACAGCAGGGACCTGGTGCTTCCAGGGACGACACAGTGAGTGGGGGGACTGGAGAGGGTGAGGATCGCGTGGAAATGGGCCGGGTATGCCAAGGAATTGGTGGTGGAATGTCCGGGCAAGGAGGGGGAAGCGGTAAGCGCGTCGAAATCGGCGTTTCCGTCGAATCTGGCACATGCGATGGCGTTGAAGGGCGCTGAGGGGCTGGGAGGGGAGTTGGAACGACCAAACGCGACGAAATCGCCGGTTTGAGTGTCGATTTTGACCCAAAATCGACCAGTTCATGAGCCAGACACGTCTGCGCAAGCGGACGCGTGATTGCATGAAGCTGACGCGAAATCGGGGGTTTGGATGGTGTTGGAGTGGGCGATTTGGGAGGGAAACTGGCTGGAGTGGGCTGGGAGCGCGTCAGAACCGCGCTAGGAGGCCCCATTTCGAGCAAATACGAGGCAACGGCCTCTTTGACCCGTTTGAAATGTAAATAGAAATCAGCTAGATTCCTAGCCAAAAGAATCCAAGAAAAATAGAAAATACGCAGCTCAGAACCGTCTGCCAGAGCTGCCCATATGTCTCCAAGCGGGTCCACCTCGAATTTGGCTGGCACAGCTCCAAACTCCCTTGCTATCCAGATAAAATCGCGAATCGCTTGAAGAATCGCGGCTAATTGACTGCGGCGCTTATTAGCGATGCGGCAGGCGATGGGGCATCCTGACAGGTCGTGGAGGAGGTCGAGCTCCACGGTATTTGTGGTCAACTCCCTCCAATCCATCAGGAGGGTGAGAGGGGCGTGCGGGAACGAGTATGACGGACTCGAAAACCGTTCCAAAGCGTCCCTCAAATAGACCAAATAACGGTCCATTGAGAGCCCACTAGTTGGGTTAGTCTGACTGATTCCCTGCACAGAAGGTCGCATTTCCGGATTCCTGGATGCGACTGGGGTTGGGGCACCAATGTTACAAAAATGGGGCCGGAGGCGCCCATTTTCGTCCGTTCGAGGCACAGGAAAGGGGAAAGGTTGGGGAAGAGGGTTCATAGGAGGTTACAGATGTTGTTATAGATGTTGTAACATGGAGTTTAACAGATAGTTTAACAAATGGGTTTTCAATGGTAATAGTTGGATAACTTCTATTTATTTACATATCATGTGATTTGGGTGCCCATAAGAGTCTAAATTGGGAAATTTCCCATTTCCATAACACAGTGCCTCTGACAGTGATGAAGATGGAGCAGAGTTGAACCCCAAACCCTACATCTCACTGACACAGCCAAATAGACCTTGACAATATTGAAACTGGGCTAAACATGGGTGGCCAGTTGGAGGGAATGGATGGTGGAGCAGTGGTGACTTCTTTATTCATTTGGATTGCAATATGTAGGCTTTGGGGCAGCAGATGCTGGGAAATCATCTTGCACATCTTGCACCCCTCTCAGAGTTGTTACTTGATCAAAGCCCATGATTACAGCTATGAAGCTTATGAAGGGGATCCCTTGGTTCAATGAGTATGCCCCCACAAGCTTCCTCAGGAGTTGGGCCTCAAGAATGCAGAATAGTGAGAATTCTTTCATTTTTCATCTACCTTGCTGATCATAACAGCTTTCTTGGCCCCTGATCAACATGATAGCATGGAGTTTCCAGACTTCAGGCAGACACTGGAGAATCCACAAAGGAATCACAAAAGTTCACTGAGAAGATTGCCCAAGTCTTCTCTGCCTCAACTATCTCTGTTCAACATCACCTTGAGAATATAACATACATCAGGCTCTGCATCCACTCACCAAGGTCCCAAATATTACATGGCCATTGAGGGCAGGTTGGGAAAAAATGAGAAGTTGGACGCAGTCACAGGGGAGGAGCTAGGATACAGGAATGCTATCCATCTCTTGGGGGGGGGGGGTTGTCATAGATTCTTTGGCAGTGTAAACCAGAACAGAGAAAAGTGTGCCCCAACAAATAGGGTATGATACATTACTTGCTAGCATGGAATGCCATGAAAGCCTGGCAGATGACCTGAGGAAGATGAGACTCATGATGTCTGGGACCTCAAAAGCAATAGGCAGGGTGAGCTAAACATAGGGAGTAAAATCTGTGAACCCATCATCAAATTTACACACAAATGTCTGAAGGGGGAAAACAAACTATCAATATGGTTTTTCTTAATCTCAATCACCATTTGTTGGTATGCCAATGTGGTAACAATACCAAAGTACAATCTAAAATCAGGTGTTTGTGATCAGTTTCAACCATTGTTGTGGATGGATGAAGGAGCCTTGGGGTGAATGGATGTGCTGTGATGATCCCCAGTATCTGCTGATAAAAGCCATAAAGCAGGTACTCAGTACCACTTAGCTTCTCACTTTCTCCATAGGCAGCTGTCAGATCTTGAAGGGACCCAAGGTACCACAATTCAGGGGATTCCAGGGCTATATGGTCAGGTGTGGTGCCCTGACACCATGGTACAGTGGACCACATCATGTTTGGGGTCAACTACCCAACTCCTACAACTATCCCTCAAGTATCTAACCATTCCATGCCCCCTTGGGTTCTACCACATCTTTCAAACCTTTGTCTATGAGAAACTTGGCAAATGTAATCTTGAGACCATGGAAGAACTCCAAGTGGCTATGGAGATGTATTGAGTGGATCAAGACATTTTGTTTGTGGATAAAACTTGAGTGCAAGGCAAGGTTTTGGAGATACACATTATCCCAGAGACTTCACACTACAATCCCATAAAGGGAAATTTCCTTTTATAGAAACCTAGTAGGGCTACTAGGATGGAAGAAAACATATTGAGGTCAGACCTAGCATCCAAAGTGCCGACAGTGTCAGCACTTCTCCTTAGGTGGCAGTCAGACCCAGCATCCATCCAGCTTCCAGCCTCCAGAGTCCAGCATCCAGTCCCCACTCCAACTCCCAACATCCCAAAGGTCAAGCATCCAAAAAACAGAATTGAGCATCCAAGTCCAAAAAATCACCCTATAACCCAACTCCACATCATGGCAAGAATCTGTGGATTTGGTGTTCTGTCACAAATTTCATAGGATTCAAACATGTGTACATGTAAGAAAAAAATGAAAGAAGAAACAGCTGTAAAAAGAATGTAGTGGGGGAGGGGAAGTCGGAAGGGAAAGAAAGCTTTACTCATCCCCAGGCTCAGGAACAATGTGTTTGATCGCTTCCAACATGTTCTTGCGAAAGGAGATACTCTTTGTACAGCATTCCTCATGCTCTTGTGCATCCATCTCTTCAGGATTCCATGCACAATTCGCGATCTTGAGGTCAGAAAACTCCTCCAGGAGAACGTCAAAGGTGTTTGGTTCCTGCTCTTTGCAATGACAACATAAAGCTTGAGCCATTTGGAGGGTGTTGTGTTCATGAGCCCCAATGAACATCATCATCATCAAGGCCAACATGCAGTGAGGATGTCTGGGGAGTGAAGGACCTGTTTCAGTGGAGTAGAGGTCAAGGCATGTACAGCCTGCCAAACCAGCTTGAGAACCATGAGCACTTCATGCATCCAGCAGCCAGACAGAACAAGCCATTCAGAATGGCTCCCGGGCTGACTGTATCACCTTCCAGAGAAACTGTTGTGTATGCATAAACCTGCCCTGGTGGAAAGATCCTAAGGAATGGTGTTCAAAGTTGACACTGACAAGAGATGGTGGCAATGTTACTTACATGGTTTGACAAGGCAAGAGAACAATGGATGTGAAGGTGTGGGGTGGGTGGTAAAGGTACTCGAACCCCAGAGATGTAGATGTCTCCATGTCATTGAAAGCCATGATCAAGTGCTGACTGGCTTGTAGGATGGGAAGGAAAAATACGACATGCCCCATGACACAGTGCAAGCTAATCCCAACACTGTTGGGATTCTGCAAAGGTGGTTGTATCAACCCCATGGCAGAGATCAAAGGACCTTGCCAGGCATGAACATCACCAGTGAAGTGATGGTCAGGGAAGTTGGCCAGCACAACTTTTTGTGCATTAAGGAGCCTGGAGTCATGTCAGGGTCAGAAAGGCGCTGAGATATGTATCAAAGCAAAGTCACATACTTCTCTACCTCTTGGTATGCATGGGTGTACCGTGAGGCAGTGGTCACAATCAGAGGCTGGGATGTTCCAACAACACATCTCTTTGGCAGCTTCTTTTGCTGTCATTGTCAGAGTCTTTTCATCTTCTCCCAATACAAGCATATCTGAGTCTAGGGCCACTTGGTGAGTACAGCAAAATGAGGCCAAATGGAACTTACCAATGCACTCCACATCAGATGAAAACACCACAAGGCGATAGAGCGTAGGGATATTAAATGTGGTAGACCCTGGTGGACCTACAAGGACCACCAGACCCTCATTGACCTGACTCTGGAAGTCCCTTGGCATCATTGCCAAGGTGGTCTCCACCTCCATCACACAGGGCATCTCATAGCAATCGAACTGCAGTGACTGGAGGTACTTGTTCAGAGCATCCAATGAGGCCTGCGCTCCGATAATCAGTGGTGAATATAAGAAGGAAATTGAGGCAATTACTGAGTTGTCTGTATGAGGAAAGCAGAAAGTCATTTCTTGAAAGGAGCCCTTGCCATCAACAATGGTGATGACATGCAGCCCCATGAAAGAGAGGGTCCACAGAAATGTCAGCAATGTGTTTGATGGATGTTGAAAAACAACTTACCTTGGATATTGGTGGAGGGGCATCAGTGTCCATGTTGGGGTTGGCTGCAGTGTTGGAGCCTGTGTATAGTGACGTGATGGCAGAAAGGGCTGGGAAGGATTCACTATCATCATCAGACAAGGAGAAGTTGATTGTTTCCTCCTTTGTCATGGGGATTTCCTGAATGGGTGCTTTCTGAGGCACAAGGTTCATTGCTGTTTTGAAGCAGATGATGGTGAGGGATAAGCAAGGGAATCCTTAGGGCAACGTTTCTTCCCTGGAGTCTTCTGGGGAGTCTTCGTGGGAGTGGGAGTGGCAGAAGTGCTGCCAGTAGTGGGAGGGCCATGAGAGGGAGAACCAGTGGGAGCAGCAGGAGTGTTGGAGGCAGGTTCAGTGGACCCTTGGGTCCCACTTGTCTCTGTCCTGTCAACTTCCATCGCTTCCTCACTGGGATCGTTGGGGGGGGGGGGGGAAATGGGATATATGGCAATGCTACACTCCATGCACTGTGGAAGGCATCGAGGTCTTCTTGTGAGATTAATCCCATTTGTGAAACTGAGAATATGACATTGAGAAGGGCATTCTCTATCACCTTCTTGGGGCCATTGGACTCCTTGATCCCCCCCCACAAAGCAGCATGTGACAACATGTTGCTGATGGCCAGAGTGGTTGTCAGGTTGGTGAGTGTGGTGTCAAATTGAATGATCCTTGTCACACCATTTTTTTTTTGGCACCTAAGTGGCTGTGTGAAATCGAATTAAATTCAATGAAAACAAAAGCCATCTGCAAGGAAGTAGTTTTTTTGGTGTAAAATGTACCAACACAAAAATTTGCCAGTTGGACATTTCCAGCACCACTGTGGCTGGTGTCACACCAACCTTGCCACCTCTTCCGGTTGCTTGTCACACATCACAAGGAGAAGCCGGTTGACTATTTTGTGTCACACTTGGAACCTCAGCAGGTAATTGGTCATGCAGGTACAGTATTGTGCTAATTGAGCTACTTGGTAGCACAGCCATGGTGTTGGAAACAGTTAGTTACAAATGAATCTTGGACTGATACGCTGCTTTTGACCTGGGAGTTAGACTTTGGCCCACAAGGCTGGGTAGATCAGTTAGAAGTCAGATTCAACCATGAGTTTGGGTGGAGAGGAGAATGGAGAGGAGGTTGCACATCCATAAGTTAGCTTGTGAGACAAGTCATTCAGATACAAATCTTGTAATGTGACAGTCAAGCTACTTGGTACCACAGTGAGTTCATGGGAAGGAATTCATACTCCCTCACAAATATTGTTGGGCACTAAGGAGCTTGGGAGGCAAGGTGGATTGTTTTCCCAACCTACTGACCCAGCCATCATCATCGAAGTCACTGTATCGATTGCAATCCTCAATCTCAATGTCATGGCATCCTGGTAAGATGGCAGTCACAATGCATCAAATATCTTTTGTACAGAGTAGTCCACTATATACTCCATCACATGCAGACCAGCAATCGAAAATGGCTTTCGTATTTGGATGTACAAGTGAGAAAAAAAAGGAGGAAGAGGAGCAGATGGGAAGGGGGAGGTCAGAAAATGAAGCAAGAGACAAGATCAAGTCACTCATACTGGGAAACAATATGTTGGATAGCTTCCACTGTATCTTGATGTAGCCGATACTCAGGGGCAGGGGATTGTTGGGTAAGAAACAAGGAGCAAAGTCCTAGCCATTGTGACCAGAGTGGTGTTGCACAAAGGGCTATGCAGATTTTTTGAGTCGCCATCCAAGGTCGAGCTAATCTGAGTTCGTTAGAGTCTGATCAATCGATGGAAGGTCAGAAGTGAATGACATCATGTGTTTGGGACCACAGGAACGATGCACTGTTCATTTTGTGGTTTACTATGTTCTGTAGGGTCCGAACAAGTGACAGAGAAGGTTGGAAATGAGCAATATTCTGTGTATGTGTCAGGGCACACACCCTGACTAGCCCGGACCCGGACCCGCATCCGGACCCGCATCCACCCGCTGTGCTTCCCACATGCACGCACGCTCCGCGCGCCGCATGCTCCGGACCCGGTTCCTACCCCTTCATGTGACTTCCAGGTATCCCCGGAAGTTTTGCTGATATTGTGGCCACTGTGGGAAGATGAGAAGTTAGCTTCCTTCTCATCTCCTTACCCACAGTAGGATTGTGCCCTGGATAGGGCTGGCCTGACCAGAGGCTGTGGACCATAGGGGAGGGTCATGGGGACCCGGGAGTCATCCCCTGACAGTATGGAAGTGCAGGAATGGAGCAGTGTCAGGTGGACGGAGGTATGGATCGACAGCAAGTTGTTGGTGTTGGTGTTGGAAGATGTTATACAAATGGGGCCTAATTGGCCCATTTCTATAGCATCCGGGTGCAGGAGGGGGCCGTGACATTGAGAAGATGTTACAATTAATGTAACAGATGTTGTAACAGTGGGGTTTACAATAACATGGACATCGGGTGTTTTGGGTGATAATTGTTGGTTAGGTTGTTATTATTTACATGTCACGTGATATTGTACTGCATAGAGCCCATAAGAGGCTAAAAATGGGAAAATCCCATTTCCATAACAGAAGAGCACGAAGAATCGAGGTGATTAAAGCCAAACCTGAGTGAGTGTGAAGTTCAAATGTGGGAAGAGATGTGTACGAATGGGGGGCAGGCTTGGATTGAAACTGCAGATGGAAAAATATGGGATGCAACTGATCAATGATTCATTGCAAGTGTGAAGTGAGAGGGCATCAAAAACACATGAGATCAAGGAATGTTTTGCCTGTAAAATGCACCATGAAAGAAAACTGCCATTCCATCATCTAACACTTCACCCATCCAGGGATAGCCAATGATGAGAACTTGTACACCGTTTCCAGGGGGGAGTGATGCTTTTGGGTTTGTAGGCAATGGTGCCAGCTCTGAGTATTGTTGGCCAGATGTGTAAGCATGCCTCTTGATGCGTTGGAGTGCCTCTTGATTTTTTGGAATGTTGCACCACATATGTAGAATGAAGAGAGCTAAAACTGTTAGGCATGCGGTGGGAACCACATGTTTTAGAGACCCCCCAACGTTATTGCTTATGGTGGAGAGGGCAGCTAAAAGAGGGCTGCTGGTACAAAACACAGTGGGCAAGGAAGTTGGAAAGTGGAAGGTGGTTGAAAAGGTGGTACTTACACATAACCAGCTAACCACATTGGGTGCTGGGGGAGCCTCTAGAGGACGGCAAGGTGGGTTCTCGTTCCTAGAGGTGCAGCTTTGGAGTTGAGCAAGCGGAAGCACCTAGCACCGGCTCTTGCCAGACAATATAAATATGGGTGCATCCAATGCAAGTTTTTATAGCAGCTCAGCTTATAGGCACTCCTGAGTCGAACTGTAGTGTTAATACACAAGTAGTAACAGTTAAATACAAGTGAGACTTGCCTGAGTCAAACTGTAGTGTTAATACACAAGTAGTAACAGTTAAAGTTCAACTCTGCAGTCATGTGACTATATAGAGAGAAGAATAAAAGAGAAACAAGGGAAATAAGGGGTAGATAGACTACAACAGTTTTTTGTTTCCTCATGGCAGAGATGGGTGTGGGAGGTCACAGGCAGGTGAGGGACTAGCTAACCCACGCCCCCTTTCCAATCCTCCCTTTACCTAAACTTCCTCATGGGGCGGTCCATTCCTCTGTGTACAGGTTTAGGTGCCCATCTCAGCTGCAAAGGTTTCATTGACTGACGAAGTGAGCCCCACTTGAGCACCCACTCACCTCATGCCCACTACCTCCCCCACAGATGACTGTTGAGTTTAATTTGTTAGCAGGAGTTTGCTACTGGTTGCTGGCTGGGAGGTTGAATTGGAGTATTTTTCTGACACATGAACCAGGGTGAGTAGGTCACTATGTCTTGGTGATTGGATGTGAAAATATTGTTGGTGGTAGCACCCATGGATGATGACATCACCCACAAACCCACAACCACATGACACACCTTTGTTTTTCTTTCACTTTGTCCCTCTCCCACTTCCAGAAGCACCCACCCCATCTTCTTTGCTGTTTTCTTCCATTTTTCTTTTCCCTTTTTCACCTGTTCAGGAAGCCCTGAAGACTACTGGTAAAGTATAGGGTGTGTTACAAATATCAGGGTGTCATTAATTATTTTACTCCAGTCAAATTAGATTTCAATTACCGCTCTGTGGCCCTCAACAATGATAAGGCCACAAACCTCAATGGAACCCAGGAGAACATGTTGCCCCTAAAGCTTCCCCACATCCCACCAGAACAGAAGATCAACCCAAGGGGAGCAGCCATAGAAGACATTAGATTACCTAATGTGTTCAAGGGATACAAGTGGGCTGGCATCCTTTCCCTTTTGTCACTCCAAATCTCATCAGGGTTCAGGACCATATGATTACAGCTGGTCAAGAATTCAGTAGGGAGTACAAGTTTGGGAAAGTATTGGCATCCCATAGGGTACAAAGTGAGTCCATCAGTCATGTAATTATTATCCATAAATCACTGATGATTCATTTTAGCATCAGCATCCTGTCATAAGCAAGGAAGCAAGGGAATGCCTGCCAGCCAACAAAAAATTCCAAAAACATTGTGAGGCATTTTATCACATCCTTAACATCTACACAGAGCGGCTTGCTCCCAAACTTGCAAAAAGAAGCCAAGAGGTCTGGCAGCAGATCAGGTCTAAACGCGACCCTGAAGGGTATCTATTGGAGATCAAATCCCATTTCTTTGCTCAAACCATCAGGTTCAATGGACACCCATTTGCACTGGGACAGTGCTTCCTGTTGGTGTGGGTTCGATGCTGTTGCAGGATTTGGCAAGTACAAGGGGTGTCTTTTGGAGTTTCCTGGATTGGGGTATGCCCTCCCTTGCAATCTGGGTGATTTGTTTTTTTTTTTCTGAGGGGCTGGGATCATGCACGATGCCACTTCGTGGGAAGGAGAAGGAAGGATGATCATTGCCCTCTACTGTTATGGATATGGAGTCACCAACGACCATATCCGTCGCATGGTCAAAGACTTCTCCTCTCTATCGTTCCTCCCCTCTTTCTCCCTTCCATCCTCTATCCCGATACCCTATCCTCCTTACCTGTTCTACCCCCTTCCCCCCTCATGCAAAGCTTTCCCCATTGGGGTTTTGGTGCTGGCCGAGGTTACTTGTGTTTCGCAGGATTTCCCGCAACCTTACCATTTGTAGATAGTCACGTGTCTTGTATGGAAACCGCCGAAGGCGGTTCCCGCTAACTAACAACTGCTCTACAACTGTCTCGTGTACCGTCTTCTGTAACAACCCTCCCTGTGACTCAACTGAACCATGTGATTGTACAACTCTCAATATGTCTTATAAGTCTGGTTATATCAAGTCCTCTAACGGCCCTCGCCGTGAGAACTCGAGGTCGCGAGTTGAAGACTCTCGACATGTGTATCGTCCTATGGAACCTGTACCCTATGGGTCCTCGTCACTCCGCTCTCCCCCCAGTACTCGACATACGACGTCACATCACGATCATGGAGATCGTGAATACTCTGAGGCCCACTTTCCCGTGATGCCGGCATGTTCGCAATGCGAACGCCAAGTTGCCACCCATCCACTGTCTGTTCCCTCCTTCGTCAGTCATCATGTTTCCCTGCCAACGGTACGTTCCCTTTGGGAACGCCAAGTCACCGAAGGCCCTATTAGTCAGTCCTCATTGCACGCTTATGATATCAACCCGCTACCGGTACGTTCGCACTGCAAACGCCAAGTACCCAATGGCAACTATACGAAGTTCTCACCCATCTCACAAGTCACATCCTCACACGCAGTACGCTCCATTGAGGAGCGCCAAGTACCCGTGGCTGACCTGTCCATCCTGGCATCTCCGACTACGTACCATCAATCCCTTAATAGCTCACTACATCACCCATCGCGA